CAGGAATGCTGTGATGGCCACAACTTCAAAGACCAGTCATAAGTCTTTTTTAGCCCCATGGTAATTTTGGTCACTGAAAAAGTGATCAGAAAGTGAGGGCTACCTGTAATATTCAGCAACTGAAGAAAGAGGATCCCATCTTCTTTCCAGCTAAAATAAGTTTTTCACTAAGTTTTATGGGACACAAGGATGATGACAGACAGAAAGCAGCAGCAGTGTTAGGCCCCAAAATCAAGTGACGTGCAGTGATTATCCCAAACAATTATTTATTGTTTCACACCTATAGACAAATCTTGCCTGAGTACTCTATTAATCTGCATCTACAATATACGCTGCCCGCTGGACCATCCACCATCTCCACAGCCCGTCACAGATCACCCAGGCAGCCCAGCAGCGCCATGGTGGCCACGCCCTCCACCCATGCCCCACAGCATCATCTGCGTGCGATGGGGCACAAGGGCAGAGTCTTGTCCCCACTGCCCGGCCATCATGTCCTTGGCTATGTTGCTTCATATGGGCTGGGCCCGGGGGCAACTCTCCTCCAGGGGGGCTGCTGGTGAGGGAGCCGTGGGAGGAGGCAGGGCTGGAGCGACGGTGCATGTGCCCACAGAGAGGGCTCCGAGTGCCGCCTCTGGCACCCGTGCCATAGGTTCGCCACCACTGCCCTATACTATACCTGCACATTTGGTTTTTCTTGCCTAAATGTAGAACCTTACTTTTTTCGCCATTGAATTTCATTTTGTCACGTGATGTGGCGAGTTTGACACCCCTGCTGTAGCTTTAAGATGTCATTAGTATGGGCTATGTGACCATCACGCAACCGTCCTCTCCTTGGCCTTCCAGAGTCCCACCCATGTTATACCCTACTTAGCTGATCAGTTGCCAGCTAATAGGCAAGGAACAGATTGCTATTTCTCCCATTACTTTTCTAGGAACCCGAAATGAAAATTAAATGAAATCATATCCTCCTTTGTGGCCATCCCTAACAATGTGAGAGACAGGTGTCGAAATACATTGTTGATGTTTCTATTACTCTTGATTACCTACCTTCTAAAGATCAGAAGGGGCATATGTCATAAAAGGATGTCTACTCTGTAAAATTAAAGTTGCTTTCTATTATTTGTACAAATGTGACTTTTATCTTGTATTTCTATTTAGGAATCCTTCTCTGAAACAGCAGCTATTCTCCTATGCTATTCTGGGATTTGCCCTGTCCGAAGCCATGGGTCTCTTCTGTCTCATGGTTGCATTCTTAATTCTGTTTGCCATGTGAAGAGATTTGTTTCCAGCGTTGGCACTAATGAACTACAATGTGATTCTGTGAATGTGAGCTTGGAAAGTGTTTATCATGGAAATGTATGCTACTTCCAAAGCAGCTTAATTAAAGATGGTAACAAGTTTAAACTTATCATAGTTTGTTCTTTAATTGACTTTTTCAAAGTCTGTTGAGAAACCAGAGGTTGACATTTATCTTTTGGAAACTCATGCCAGGAGAATTGGTATTAAAACTCAGTGGAATAATATTGTGAATGTGACTGAGTATATGAGTGTGCTTTATCTTACATAGGCATAAATTACATCCACAATCGGAAATAATGCCCTTCCATGAATGGCTGTTCAGCTGTGGGTAGCACCAGTAGAGTCATCATCATTTGGGGAGGATTAATTAAATCTGCTTGATACTTTAAAGAAATACAAAAATGGACCACTGGGAATTAGTATTCATATGGAAATTGCTTTTCAGATTATAAGTGAGTCTACCTGAAATATTTAATAAAGTAAGGTTGCAACCTAATACATGCCTTTTATACAACTTTTGGTAGATTTATCCTATCATAGCTCTTGAACAATGACAGGAAAATCTAGAAGATATTTAAAGGAGAACATATTGAAGTAAAAATGCATACTTGCAACAAACAAAAGAGCAATGAGAGCAATGAGTAGCTTGAGTGCTATTGCTTATCAAGGTTTAAAAGGCATGTTTTATGGCTGCCAGGTGAGTTTTAGAATTACATGTCCTGTGGTTTCAGCTGCTCTTTTTTGATCTCATTTCCTTAGATATTATTATAATAATAAAGTTGGAAGGGACTTTGGAGGTCATCTAGTCCAACCCCCTGCTCAGGCAGGAAACCCTATATCATTTCAGACAAATGGCTGTCCAGTCTCTTCTTAAAAACTTTCAGTGTTGGAGCATTCACCGCTTCTGGAGGCAGGTTGTTCCACTGGTTAATTGTTCTAACACACAGTTACACATATTGATGTGTGGCAGACAATTCTAGGTTTGCATTAACATGCTGAGTCTAGATATATGTGAATTCTGCCTTAGAATGCTTGAACATTACTGAAAACCACAACTGGAATTTGGCTGGGATTTATGCAGTTGTCTAATTTGGTCTGCATTCTTTTTAGCTGTTATTGATTTTACAAGTTTAAAGCAAGAATAATGATGACACAAGATAAAATTAGACTGGAAGAAGGCTTGCGTCAAAAGTATTAAAGTTTGCCCAATCTACAAAATGAGCATCAATATTTAAGGTTGTAATGTTACATCACAAGCATTAATTTAACTTTCCTCAAAGTGGTACAGGTAGCTCTTGGCTTATGTCCACCCACTGACTGCTCAAGTATATAACAGTGGTGAACATGGGCTTATGACTACTCCTTGGAGTCTCAGCCATTGTAGCATCCTCAGTCACACAATCATAATTTCCAATGTTCCTTGCTGCCTTCCCATAATCAATGGGGAAGCTGGCAAGAAGTCATGCTCATGTGAAGTCTTTGCTTAATGATCCACACAGTTGTTGCTTAAAGATAGCAACTAGGACTGCCACAATTGCCATAGCCAGGTCTGCCATCTGCAGTGATGTGATTACATGCTTTATGAATGTGTTGTTTTAACAATGGCAATTACTGTTCCAATTACCTATATTCTAGAACTGCTGGATTTCCAACATCCGTAATGCCAGTCAGAGAAAGGCGTATACAAGGTAGTCCTTGACTTAAAACAGTTCATTTATTGACAGTTCAAAGTTACATTATTGAAAAAAGTAAAGACCATTTTTCACACCAGTGCAGCATCCCCATGATCATGTCATCAGAATTTGGGTGCTTGGCAACTGACTTCGTGTTTATGATGGTTACAGTGTCCTGGGGTCATGTGATTCCCTTTTTTGATCTTCTGACAAGCAAAGTCAATGAGAAAGGCAGATTGACTTATCAACCGTGTTATTAACTGCAATGATTCACTTAAACTGTGACACAAAAGATCATAAAATGGCAAAATTCACTGTCTCACTTAGCAACAAAAATTGGGGGCTCAATTGGCCCAAATATGGGAGGAAGAAATCTTACATATATACAGGGCTTTTTTTGTCAGAGAACGCACCTGAACAGAGTTCCAGCCCCCTTTTTTGATGGATTTTCCAGAGTTGCACTCTTTTCCTATTGTTGCCCTTCCTATCCTCGTTTGCTTTTGAAAATGCCCTGCTGGCAGTAAGGTGTGAGCGGGGTCCCCTCCGGTGCTGTCTGCCTCCTCTAGGATCCATGAGGTGCCGGAGCACCACAGCCAGAGCGTGGCTTGATTGGCTGGGTTGGAGCATGTGGTGTGGAAGCCGATGGTGGCGGTAGGAGACAAATAAACATGGAGGCCATTTGGAGCCTTTTGCCTTCCCTTACAGAAGGTGGGGTGAGGTTAAAAAGAGGTGAAGCGAGAAGAAAGAAAGGCGGCTGGCGTGGAAGCTTGCCCGACAGCGAAACTTAGCTGTTTCGGTTCCTTCGGTAGTTCAAAAGGCTGGGATATCTACAAAAATCTCTTTTTAGTCTTTTATACTTTATATTCAAACTGCAGAGGGGAAGAATAATAATAAAGCCAATGTCTTGTGATTTGGGGGAATTATTATTATTAATATATATTAATTATGTATTGGTCAGATGTAAATGTAGACCTACAGTATGAGGTTTAATCAGATCTATTTATTAAATTGGGTTTAACTTAAAGGTAAATTAAAAGTAATCTGTTCACTGACAGTTTCAACTTTAATTTGTTTCAAGTCAATATCCATAGTAAGCTCCAAATGTAATTTTTTTCACCTTGTTTGAGAACTTCTTAAAAATAATTCAATCTTTTCCAAGCAATCAAATTTTCTTTTATTGGGCCAATTTTATTCCACATAGAAAGCTGACATTTCCACTCATTAAACTAAATGGGTATGCCAGTGGTAAATGTCCCAAAAGATTAATAAAATGCCTTCTTGTAATTTAAAGCCACACAATTCATGGTAACATTAATAGTATTAACTTACCTTGAATAAAATCCTAATCTTTTAGATACACTAAAAATTGAAGGGTTTAATTAATTGTTTGTAACTGCTTTACGAACAAAAAATTCAGGAGGAAAACCCCCCAAAAAATTTACAAAGCCATTATTATAATAAAGGACTGCCCTGTAGAATAAAGGACATCAGGCTACTGAGACTATCAATCTGCAGTGATTTTTGCGTCCAGCTTCCCAGGAGGCCTTGGGCTCAGCTACGCTCCTCCGTGCATTTAAAATCACAGTCCCGCCCTGCCCTGCCCCGCCCCGCCCCATCAGCACTTCGGAACACCCAGCCTCCCATCGAAAGGACATCTTCCTCTTCTGTGCGCAGCCGCGAAAAGGAGGAGCGCAGGAAGGAAGGAAGGACGGGGCTGCTTCCGGCCACCCAGGCACCGGCGGAATGGCAGTAGCCCCGCCTTCGCGGAGCCCACAACCACGCGGCCTCATTCCTGCGCTTGTGCGCGCCTTCCTCTCTTCCGTTCCGTTTGTGCTGCACCCGGTCCGTCTCCGCGGCACGTGACCCCGTTTTTTTTTTTTCGCCTGACCCCCCCCCCGAAGGGGGGAGGAGGAGGGAAGGAAGGCCGCGCGAAAGAGAGAAAGAAACCGATATGTCACGGAGTTCCCGCGAGATGTGACGAGAACGGGGGGGGGGGGGGGGGGGAAACCCGGGCTTTAATGTGCGGCTCGGCCGGCGGTCGTGAGGGGTGAGTTGGCTGTGTGCGCGCGGCGGCGGTCTGGTTTTGTTTTAATGGAGGCGGAGAGGAAGGCCGTGCCTCGCCTTGACGGATAACGGCTCGGGGTGTGGCTCTAGCCCTAGCCGGGCGGAGGCTGGGGGAGAAGAGCCGGGTCCTGGTGACTGAGGATAGGAGAAGAGGGAGCTTGGGGAAGTGTAACATGGCGCCGCCGCTCCGTGGTTTTTTTTTTTTTCTCCTTCGACCCGTCCTTTACTCCCGGGCAGCCGGGTTTGGTCGCCCCCGACGCCAACCTGGCTTCTCCTGTCCTTCCCAGTTGGCCTTGGCCTGGACGCCTCCGTTCTCCTCCCGTTTTTCCTGGAGGAAAGAAGCCACGGAGGGCCCCGAGCCATCTTCTTTTAGCTTTGGGAGTGCAGAGAGAAAACAGAGAGAGAGAGAGATAACCGGGTCTTGTAGTAAGGATGCCTTCGGACCTTCCCTCCCCGCGGTCTCTGATGGAGAAGGCCAAAAAGCGTTGGCTCGGATGGTCAAGGGTCGCTTTTGAAGAGCAATGGGGAGACATACCTCCTCCGCCCTGTTTCCTGCAAGGAAAGAGATCTAGGCAGCTGGAGTTAATGAAGCCGAGAACAAAATAAAGCTCCAGGCCCAGAAGGCTTTCCTTTTTTCAATTGCTAAAGGCGGTGTGAGAGTTAAGTGTAGCAGAGGTGTTTCATTGTGTCACTGCTATTCTAACTTACTCCTCCTGACATTGCCTTCACCTGATCTCCACCCTGTACCCTGAGCAAAGTGTGAGTTGCCCTTGGCCATTTCAGTTTTAAAACACTCTTCTCTCTCTTCTACTGACATAATTGTGGTTAATAGGATCTGGCACATTTCACTGACCATTTGGTTACTGTTACAATTTAATCTGGCCAGATTTTATTGGTTCTTGGGAAGTGCCATCAATGACCATTTTGATTTGGGCTGTAGAAAATATTGGACCTTCAGCAAAGGTATCTGCCCAAATCTTTGTTGCGTTTTCAAATCTTACCCAGACTTTTTTACATACAGTTTTAGCATGTTTTTAAAAAGAACAAGTGCTTATCTTGTATTCTAAACATAGGTTTAGAATACTTTTGAGAGACTAGTAATCCTATGCTGCACAGAGAATTGGTTTTAACAGGGAAAGTGAACAGTGTTTTGCCAACTATAGGTTGTTGGCTCAGTCACTGTTAGGTGTATTACAAGTTTTCTGCTATCCCAGCTGCTGAGTTTTAAACAGCCATTCCCCCCCACCCCGCTCCATTATTAATACTTTTATTTTGGAGGATTCACAAATGAGCATACCAACACCCAGAACCAGTATTGTGATCTTTGAAGATTATTATTAGGAAGCTGCAACTGATGCAGAATGCAGCAGTTTGCTCGCTAATGATTGAGACCTGCCACAATTATTTCATTCATCAGACAGCCTAACTGGCGTAATTTAAGATTCAAAGTCTGTTTATACTAACTCCACCTTGACTGCCTTTGGAAACCAGAGTAGCCACCAATCTGACTTCCGTGGGGGGGAGTGCTTAGCATTTATTATTAGAACAATTGATAGGTAGCTAAATCTACCATCGTAAGCATCTTACTCAGGATGGGGTCAAGTGTCCTACAGATCCAATAAATCAGTCTAGATGTCTTCCTCTCTACAGTAAGAAGAATTTTTCTCCTGCTTGGAGTTGATGCTGGGTCGGAGAAGAAACAAATCCAGAGGAATTTACCAATCACGTTTTTAACTTGAGCTGTAATAACTTAGTTTTGCATAGCACCATTCTAAGGGCTTGTTACACTAGGAGAATAAGGATCAGCAATCAGGGCAGCACAATT